AGGGATCAGTTAAAGAAGCCCTGTTTTGTAGGGTCAGTGCTAGGACAAAGTACTTCAAGATATTTGCCACAAATAAGACACAGGAAGGGCAATCCTGGAAAAATCATCCAGGATCTGGAAGAGAAAAGGGGTCAGCTTGGAAATAAGAAGTAGGATTTGGAGGTGGGATCGTACCTCATGGGCATATAGATCCCTTAGCAGCTGGACCTTGTACCAAAGAGATTCAGGATTGAAAATAAAGCCTTGGAGAAATGGGATGACTGCCCTGTAGAGAAGGCTGGTAAGGGGCAGGATATTACAGGGTTAAAGAGAAAAAAACAGGAATTGCGGGAAGGTGCCTTTGGGAAAGAACATCTCCAGCACTCCGAGTGCTGAGAGGAGGCTGGGAAGAGCACGGACACAGGACATGGAGGAGTGGATGGAGCTGGGCACCAGCCAGGGAATGAATTAGCGGTGAGTACACCACTGTGCAGAGCCCTGGCCTGATGGGCACCACCTCCAAGGACAGCAACGGGCACGGAGGGAGCCGGGAGCTGGCAGTGTCCAGAGATGTGATCCGAGCTGCAGCTTGGCCTGGGGAGGTCCAGCAGGTCTCCCTGCTTCTCCAGCTGCCCAGAAAGCCCCAGCTCACCTCCCTGCTGAGGCTCCTGCCCATGGCGGTGGAAAAATACACATGACAGGACACAGGGAATGGTTTCCCGCTGCCAGAGGGCAGAGATGGATGGGATATCGGGAATTAGGAATTGTTCCCTGTGAGTGTGGGGAGGCCCTGGCACAGGGTGCCCAGAGAAGCTGTGGCTGCCCCTGGATCCCTGGAAGTGTCCAAGGCCAGGCTAGATGGGACTTGGAGCAGCCTGGGACAGTGGAAGGTGCCCCTGCCAGGGCAGAGGGAGGAATGAGATGATCTTTGAGGTCACTTCCAATCCAAACCATTCCACGATTCCATGCCCACTTTGGCTCAGCATTCCCATGAAATGACTGTCTCTCTGGACCACAACATGAAGTTTCATCAAGGCCCAGGCCCTGAATGAGGGCCTTGTGCACAATCTGAGCATGACAGAGCTTTGTGTCTCACCACGGTGGCCATCCAGGGACCAGCAGTTGCTTGTCACCCTGCCCCAGTCTCCACAGCCGGAGGGAGCCAAGCCCAGGAAGACTTTCCTAACCCTTTCTGCTGGAGAATGGGGCAGCCTGGGCAAGCCTTCAGACAGCTCTACAGGTTAGTGACTACACAGAGACCACAGGAAGTCCCTTGAGGTGAAACCAGGTGGGGACTGGAAAGCATTTGTGGGAAGTATCAGGAACACTCCCCTATTCTTACATCGCTGCCGTGTCATCTAATTACAGACATGGTTGGAGGCAGCAACCTGGAGCAGCACAGCCACTCTTTCACTCTGAGCAGGCTGTGGCTTGCACCTGGGACATGCTGTCCCCTCTGTTCCCCCCAGTGAGGTCCCTGAAGCCCCCAGCTGGGCAGCAAGGGCCCTGCTTGCACTGAGCTGGGACAGCGGAAAGGACATGAAGCTGGGGCTGTGCCCAGCACTGACTCAGCAGGAAAACCCAGCTTGAGTCACCTTCCCGGAGAAGGAGGAAAGCCACCGGTGCATCACGGCCTGCCACATCCCACAGGCATTGCCAGGTGCAGGAAGCACCTGGGTGCTCAGGAACTCCAGCTGCAGAGCTCCTGCTGGGGCATCTCCGTGCAGGACAGCAAGAGAACCTTGGGCACGCGGGAAGGGGGAAGGAAAAGGGGGACTGAGGAGAGCCCGTGGTGCTCATTCCAGCAGGGAAATGTCTGGCAAAGCTCGTTTGGGTACCTGCCCACTGAGAAGACGGTGGTCTCTCCGGGATGCATCCTGCTTTTGCCCTCCTTGGAGCGCCCCTGGCGCTGCAGCGGGTGCCTCTTCCTCCTGCTGCAGTGGATGCAGGGGGCCTGCGTGGAGCCCAGGTGCACCGTGTGGTGATGTGGTGGGCCCCCGTCCTGGCTGCTACTGTGGGGACAAAGGCTGAAATAGAAGAGGACAGGTTGTGTCACCTCCGAGAGACGTCCTGGTGCAGCCCCACTGCAGCAAGCCCTGGGAGCAGCAGCTCTGGGGGGATCTCTGCTGGGGACAGGAATGAGGAAGAGCTGTTCCACTTGACAAGGGGTGAAGCACTCCTCAAAACCCTCAGGAGAGGGGTGGGAAGATGCTTTGAGGCAGCTGGAAAGGGGCTGCTTGTCCCTCACTGTGGAGTAGCCACAAGTTGCTATGAGCTTCCCTCACCTGGGCACTGGCACTGGCATCTCTTCATTTTCCCCCAACATCTCCTTGAGGGCCTCCACATTTGCTGAAGAGAGAGGGAAAAACAGGAATGCATCAGCCAAAGTGGTCAGTATGGCTCCGGGCCGACCCATGGAAGTGCTCACCTTCATTTTGGATGATGATCTTCACGATCTTCTCCACAGTGTCGTCATTCTTCTCGGCCTCATCTGAAAAGAGACAATGTGGCACTGAGAGCTGGGATTATAGGGCTCCACTCATCCCTTCCCAGGAGCAGCTGCATCAGCAGAGTTGTTGGAGAAGCCTCAAGTCTCCTGTCACACTGGGAAGACACTGGGGAACACCAGATCCCTCATCCTGGAAAAGAAATGGCTGAGCCAGCAGCTGCGTGTGCAGGGAGAGGGGGTTGTGTTGCTCCTTCAGAACAGAGGAGCATCTGGAGAACTGAGATGGAAGCAGGTTCCAAAAAGTCAAAAGAGGAGGGTCCTTGCCCAGCCCTGGAGCCCCTGGCTGCAGGATGCTGCAAGTGCTCAAGGCTCCAAGGGTAAACAGGACACGTCCATGGAAAATAAACCCACTGGGACCCACTAAACACAGAAATGGGGAACACAATGACAGGGAGAGCACCAGGGCTGCACACTATTAAAAGCTTTAAAGACTGTTCTGAGGAATCTTGGCTGGTGCCTGCTTTGTTGTGGAGTTTACCCACAGCTTTCAACTCAACCTGCTTCCAGCCACTGTTGGAGGCAGGAAGGAAGGAAGGAAGGAAGGAAGGAAGGAAGGAAGGAAGGAAGGAAGGAAGGAAGGAAGGATGGATGGATGGATGGATGGATGGATGGATGGATGGATGGATGGATGGACCTCCAGCCTGGTCAGCAGTGTGAGATGTTCCTGTAAGTAGGTTGGAGCTATGGTCTGGCAGGCAGCTGCCTCAAAGGCTCCAGGGCTGGTAGCATGATTTTGGAAGCCCATGGAGACGTGTCCCTGGGCTGTGGTGTCTCCAGAGGGCAAGGCCCTTCCTGGAAGGTTCAGAGACTGTCTCCATGTCACATACAGCCAGGACATGCAGAGGAGCACATCATGGACACCTGGAAGCTCTGGCTGCAGCCATGGATGTGCTGAGGAGCTGTGTTTCCCTCCCAAGCACCAGCAGCAGCAGCAGGAGGTGCTGATCCTCCCCAGCACTGCCGACGGCACGCGGGAGCTGGAGGAGTTCTGTGGCACCATGTGGCTGTTCTCAGCCTGGGAAGCAGCCGGAGGAATGAATGTGTGTTCCCCACTTCAGCAGAGACTCAGGAAAGCACCGAATGACAGAGCTCGCTTGGGCCAGGCACCCACGCTCGATGCGGCATTCCCAACCCAGCCACCCCAGAGCCACTTGCAGTGCCCTGAAGCCAGGGAAAAAATTCCCTACAGGTCCCTTCCCCTTCTAGCAACAGCCCTGCTTCTCTGGTGTGCATGAACACAGCAGGGACTAGAAGAAGACATGACCAATAACAAACAGCAGCTGGCTCCCTGCCAGACATCCTAATGCCAGAGGGACCGAGGCGCTTGTGCTCCAGCTGGGAGAGGTTTTCCTTGAGGAAACAGGGGTTATGACTGAGATGCTGGGCATTCAGCAAGTCCTGGGTGTTCATCAGAATTACCTTTTGGTGATAACGCTCCTTTGGGAAGGGCCAGGCACTGGTTCCCACCTCCCTGTCACCGCCAGCCGTTGTCAGCTCATGGATCAGAGGGAGCCCTGGCCCTCACACTCCTGATCCCCAGAGAACACCGCGCTGTTCTCACCTCCCAGCCCCTTTTCCCAACGCAGCCACACGTGACAGGTAACCCTCCCAGCCCCATCCCGCGTCCCAGAAGGGTGTATGAGGAGCACCAGCCCACACCAGGCACAAGGCCGAGCCCCCAGCGAGCCCCCACAGCCCCAGCACTCACCATCCTGGAGCTCCTCCACCTCGTCTTTGTCATCTGGGTCAAGATCGTCCCGGAAGGTCCGGCACCGGTAACCCTTCTTCTTCAGGACATGGCAGATCAGGAACCCCACCAGCCCCATGATGAAGAAGACAAGGACAAGGAGGAAGACCACAGTAATGCCGTGCTGGGGGTCTGACTCCCCATCGCTGGGGTGGTGATGGTCTGACATGCGGATCTAGGAGCAGGGGGAAGGCAGGTCAGAGCCGCGGCGCTCACCCCCACCCTGTGCCCATCCTCCCCTTCCTCCCGGGGGCAAGGGGCAGCCCCCAGCTGGGGCGGCTGCCCGGGGCTCAGCCCTCGCCCCGCAAGGTCCGGCGAGGTGCGGGGCCGCACGGAGACAGGAGCGGCCGGAGGTGTCTCCCAAGGACACCGCTGCCCCCCACGGCCCCGGCAAGAGGCATCCCAAGGGCAGCGGCGGCGGCAGCGTCCCCGGGCTGCGGCCCCGGGCTGCGGCGCTCCCCCGTCCCTTGCAGGCGGCTTCCCAAGGGCACCGGTGCCCCGGCCTGCCCGGGGCTCTGCGGCGGGCGGCATCCCCGGCTCGCCCTTGCCGGAGGATGGCCGAGCATCCTCCCGCGGCGCGCCGCTCCCCCGCAGCCCTCGGTACTCACGGCCGAGGCCCTCGCACCGGTACCGGTACCGGCAGCGGCAGGCAGGGAGCCGCGGCGGCCGGGCTGGCGGAGGGCCGAGCCGCCGGCTGCTCCCGCATCGTCCTCCCGCAGAACCGAGCCGGCTCCCTCCGCCCCGGCTCCCTTCCCAAGGGCTCGGCGCCCGCATTCCCACTCGCCGGCTCCGCTTCCCGGCACGGAGAAAGTCCCCCCCGCCTGTCCCCCGGCCCCGCTGTGGCGGTACCTGGGCCTGCGGTCCTCCGCAGCGCTCTCCTCACCTTCACCTTCACCTTCACCTGCCGCCTAGCAACCCCGCATCCCCGCGGCCGGGGACCGCGGCGAGCATCCTCCGGCCCCGGGCCCCCGCTCCCTGCCTGCCTTCCCCGGGAGGGAGCCAGCTGCCTCTGCCCGCCGCTCTCTGCCGCTCTCTGCCACAAGAGCACCCGCCTGTCCCGATCGCAGAAAAAAATCTCCCCGGAGCTGTTTCGGCGGAGGAAGCTGCGGAGAGGAGCTCGGGGGTGCCGGAGGCTGCAGCAGGACACGCAGGAGCGCTGCTCAGGGAAGCTGCCAGGCTGCCGCCCGCCCCGGGGTGAACAACCTCACCCGCACGCGTGCCAGCCCCGAGCTCCCCTGGCACCTTCCTTTCCTTGAATTTTAGGGCACTGAGCCCTGGCGATGGGAGGGAGAAGGGTGGGAGTGGGGCTCAGTGAGAGCAGGACTGATCACACAGCAGCGTGTAGGGGGGAGAGGGGTGCAGACCCCCACACGGCATCCCAGCACCGAGGAGAGGGTGGAAAAAGAGCCCCGGGAGACTCCTGTGTCTCCCTCCTTCCTAAAAAAGAGCCATCTGAAATCTCATGCTGTGGTGATCCCATGACCTCCTTCTCCATCTCCACCACATTATCCTCACTCTGGGAGGCTTCACCCACCACTCCTTTGCTACTGGAAATTAGACCCGCTCCTCTCCATCCTTCAGCCACCTGCCAGTTCTCCCCCAAACCGTGAGGAATGCAACCCTTGAAACCCCTCCCAGCCCATCTCCATTGAACCTAGCTCAGATCCATGCACACATTCCTCTGTGGGAATTATCCCATGGGAATTATCCCACCACAGCAGTTTGCCTTGCTGTGACACAGCCTGTGACTCCTCCAGGCTCTCAGCTGAGGGCTCCTGTCCCTCTGCACAGGTGACCAAGTCATCTCTCAGGAGCCTGCTCCATCAGCATGACTTCAGGAGGTCACCACATCACAGGTGACACTCATCTGCCCGCTGTCCTGACAGGGACACAGCAATGGAACCTCTGTGCAAGAACAAGACTTCTCCTCCTGCCATGGATCTCTGAGCCACAGGAGAGGAGAGCTCTCAAACCCTGGACCAACAAGCTGCTGCATCATGCAAGTCTCTGCTGAGGAAGAGCTCGCAAAGTAAAGCTCAAAGGCAGTTTGCTCCTTGCCCTTGTTTCTGTGCAGAGGGGGAACTGGCAGCTCTGGGTTCCTGCAGTGCCCTGAGGGGACGCAGTCATGGTGAGCATATTCCCGTTCTCTTCATGCCCACGCACGCTGTCCTGCACAATAAATCGCTTTTTCTCCTCCTGGGCATTCCCACCCACCCAGAGCATTGCTGCACCCTACCCGCTTCCAGCACCCTACCCACTTCCAGCACCCTACCCCCTTCCAGCATCCTATCCCCTTCCAGCTCCTCACCCCCTTCCAGCTCCCTGCCCCCTTGTCCCGATTCCAGCCATGCCAGGCTGATCAGGACTCCCCATTCAAGGGGACATTCCCATTTTCCCACAGCCTCTGGCGTCAAGGCATTTCCACAAGCTGGGGGACACAGCGTGGCACAGCAGCCTGGCCCTGCCTGAGGACAAATCCTGGCCTTCGTGGGGTGAGCCAGGATGAGGAAGGGGTTCTGTGGCTGTCAAGCTGCTCCCTCCTGGATCACCCCAGCTGAGTGTTTCTCTTTCTAATTCTCCCAACCAGGGATCACCTGCTCACAGTCTCTGTGCTGCTTCCACCACCTCAGCTTCAGTGTCCCTTCAGGGGCTCTGTCCTTGTCCTGCTGTGGGACCCCATTATCACTTTAATGGTCCCACACAGCACCTCGCAAACACAAACACCACCCTGGCACCTCTCTGCCCCAAAAGCAGCCAGCATTTGAGGCATGAATCCACACAACAGAGCTCCCCTTCTGAGTAGGAAGTTCATCCTGGCTGTGTGGGGACAGAACCCACATGGGGCAAAGCCCCACACCAAGGCAGGGAGGTGCAGCTGTGGCTGGGGCCTGACTGCTCATGGCACATCCAGTCTGGGCTCTGCATCCTCTGTCCCTCCTGACCCCATCCCCGCTCCTCTGCCATCCTGTGTGACCCCACCAGCCGAGGCAGTGGGTCTGAGACACAGGACAATCTGACTGGAGCTCTGGGATAGGCAGCTGCCTTCTTTCTGCCTGCTCACCTCATCCAGCAGCACCAGCTGGAGGAGGAGGTTACACGGTCCGGAACGTGGCACGGTGATGGTGAGTCCCCTCTGCCTGCCCGGGGCACTGCTTGGGCACTTCTGTGGGAGTTGTCCCTGCATTTCCCATGTCCTGAGCTCCTCTTTTCCCATGTTTTCAGGACTTATGAAACGTCCTTGCTCGTGGATGAACCAATTAGTGACGAGCTCCCATACAGTGGTAAGTTGGAGTTGCCTTTTTTCCTCATGAGCTCATCTGAAATTCTTGGCATGTTTTATTCTGCATTGACCAGGGCCAACGTGTCAGCACTTCCTGACCTTGGAGATGGCCTTAGCCATGCCTGGAAGTGTCCAAGGCCAGGTTGGATGGGGTTTGGTCTAGTGGAAGGTGTCCCTGCCCATGGCAGGGGGTTGGAATGAGATGATATCTAAGGTCCTTTCCAATCCAAACCATCCCTTGCCCTTCCTTCCCAGGTCCCCTCTTGGGGCTTCCCTGAATCCTGGAAGTCCTTGGAGGCTTTACTCCCTCTCTAGGCATTGCCTGGAAACACTGAAATTTTAAGCTTTGGAGGCTTGGGAGGAAGGGGACAGAGTGGCTGAGGAGAGGCTGGTGGGAACAGTGCTGTCACCCATCACCCTGTCCCTCAGCTGGCCCCAGCCCCAGTGAAATTCCACATTACCTCTTGTCTGCTCTTTTCCCGCACCTCTTCCGCAGCCGTTGGAGCAAATGTCACCCCACAAACAATGTGACCACGTCCTTTTGGGGGATCAGCCACTCTGGCCCCGCTGCTTGTCCATGTGGCAGCTAAACGGGCTGGAGTGCCCAGATCCAGGCTCATCTTGGGATCTTCACTTCAGTGCTCAGCCCAAAAATTGTCCTGACATCTGCAAAGCTGCTCCATGCCATCGTGTCAAACATGTCCCTGAATCCTCAGCCTTGCTTCAGCTTTCCAAACATGCCCAGCAGCTAATGGCCATTAAACCACAGCCTGCTTCTGCTCTCTGAGCACAAAGAGCATCTAAAAATATCCCTCTCCAACGCTTCCCTTGCTCTGCTCCAACACCCGTGAAGATGCCCGGAGCAGCACCCGGCTTCCAGAAGGAGAGCTCAGGCAGCAGAGTGATCCCAGCTGGAAGCAGGGCCGTGTCTCTGCTGTCCTCAAGCAGGGATGTGTCTCTGCTCTCCTCGGGCAGGGATGTGTCTCTGCTCTCCTCGGGCAGGGATGTGTCTCTGCTCTCCCTGTGCAGGGATGTGTCTCTGTTCTCCTCGGGCAGGGATGTGTCTCTGCTCTCCTCGGGCAGGGATGTGTCTCTGCTCTCTCACCCCGTCCCCAGGCGGGCACTGGGACGTGCTCCCCGGTGGCTCCGTGTCCCCAGCCAGGCGTTATCTGGTGGCAGCAGCTGGTGGAGCAGGGACAGGACAGTCGTCATGGGGAGCACCGTCAGAGCTTTGGGAGCTCCCAGTGCAGCCGTGCTGCTCAGCACGTTGAAATCCGGGTGATTTCCTGCAGCAATGTATCTGAACTGAGGCCTCAGCGTGCACCGGCCACCCAGCTTGTAACTGTTCTCACCAGAGTTTTCTCAGAACCCGCCAGAATCCATCAAGCTTACTAAGACAGAAACTGTGCTAAATAAGAAAGAAGAAGCTGAGAAACAGAATTCCAAATAACAGCAGCAAAGCACCTGGACTGTGATCAGTCCCAGATTCTGAGAGGTGCAGGCAGAACACGTGGACAAGACAAAAGAACCGATAAGAAATGTGTGACCAGTGTGTGCAGTGGAGTTAGAATATATAAATAAGTGCATAATAGAAACAACAAACAGCTTCTGCTTAATCACACTGGTCAGTTGTCCAGGAGTGCTGAATTTCCCACGCTGGGTGCTGGGCTCGGTGCCAGGTGCTCTCTCTGAGTGTCCCCAGGTACAGCTGTGCCCTGCGGGGTCACAGCGAGAGGTCCTGGGTCTCCTCTGGAAGTGTCCTGCCCCTGGCAGGGGATTGGAATGAAATGATCCTTAAGGTCCCTTCCAATCCTATCCCCTAAACCATCCTGTGATCCTTGCCCCACGCTGGAGCTGGGATCCTGAAAGGAAACCAGCCAAGGAGCGATGTGGAGGGAGCAGTGTCCCCGCAGGGGGGGCAGAGGCAGCCAGAGCTATCCTTCAGTGACCCCACCACTCCATCCCACCCTGACTCCTGCAGCCAGCACAGCCCCAGAACCCCCGGCCATCCCGCCATGCCCCATCCCATACAGGCGGGCAGCTCCTCTTGCTGCTTCCAAGGGGTTGCCATCCCCTGGAAATCCCAGCCTGGCATCCACTGAGATGCCAGGGAATGCCCTGGTGCCCATCCTCAGGCAGCTCTGGGGGTCCTGCCCGTCTCTGAGACCCGCTGGGTTGAGGAGCCTGTCTCCAGCACAGCTTCCCTCATCCCAAACTGCAGGAAGCCTCAGGCAGGAGGCTGGCAGGACCAAGCATGGATTTTGCCTTGGATTTCCAAGCCTTTGAACAAGGCTTCATGCTCTGTCTGTCCTTCCTCCTCTCCAGCCCCCATGGAGCAGGTTTGTGCTGCCGTTCCCAGCCAGCCCTGCTCACGCCATGCTCCTGTTTCCATCCTTTGTCAGCTCCAGCTTTCCCCATTCTGCTTCCTCCTGACATCCAGCAATTTCCCACCCAGCTTTTGTCCTTCTCCTGCCTGGCGCTGCCTCCAAAGGGTTCTTGCCAAAGGTCTGGAGAGCCTGCACCCCCCAGGGTGGCACCTGGTGACAGCTGGCAGGGGCAGGTCCCCATCCTTCAGGGACTGGAATGGAACGAGTCCCATCAGGGCGTGAGTGTCCCATGGAAACCCCCCTGCCCATCCCCTGTGCCCCGGGAGTGGGGACTGGGGTGAAAGGGGGGCCTGGGAATGACTGGGAGTGACTGGGAGTGACTGGGAGTGACTGGGGGCCAGCTGTGGGCCTGGAGAAAAGAATCCTGTGGGCAACTGGGATCTGCCAGGGGTAACTGGGAGCAGCTAGCAGTAACTGGGATCTGCCTGGGGGGTAACTGGGAGCACTGGCAGTAACTGGGATCTGCCGGGGGGTAACTGGGAGCACTGGCAGTAACTGGGATCTGCCGGGGGGTA